TGGCAGATTATCAGTAAACATTACATGCTTTCATATGTAAAATATAAAATTTTTGTATTAAGTCTTAAGGTTTGTAAAGAAATGTTTTTCTCATGCTTTTTTTTTTTACTTTTCCAATGTTGCCTATCCAAAATGCGAAGTAATTTTCATTTTAAGATTAAAAATACTTTTGTGCATCGGAAAATTTTTAAATTTCACATATTTGTCATGTTTGAAATAACATAAGGAAATAAAGAGGTGTATCATGTTCAACAACTGACATTAAATTTTTAAACAATATTAATGTTTAATGAGAAACTGTTATGCATCATTTAACACTAATAATGCATTATTATTATTAAGTACAGTAGTACTTAATAGTAGGGATTGCTAAAGTTTCCAAAGAATTCATGCACCATAAAAAACACCCTATCAAATTCCTAAGAGTATTGGTTATGACATATTATGTGCATATATACTAATAATACACTAAATAGGTCGGTAACATTTCTGGTATAACAATTCAAAAATTTCTAAAACAGCAACTTTTTTGTCTACTACCTACCTACCTGATCACATCAGTGGCACTACCTCTTAGATGACTTTGACTATTGCTACAAGGTTTCTCCAGCGTACTTGACTGGTCTGTGGGTATCTGCTTTGAATATTCCGATAAATAAAAAAATATATACAGATTTTTTTTTATGAATGGTAAACATATCATGCTTGTACTTAAAAACCTTTTAACTCCAATTCAACTCAACAGATGGCGTTAAATATTGATGGACAGACACCAGACCATTTCTATAGCCAAAAGTGAACAAACAAGTATTAAAAAATTATGAATTTTAAAATGAAGTAGGGATCCTGCTACAAAAAGTAATGAAACAATAATTAAAACCATAATCACAAATTTATAAAATTTAATTCATACTTTGGCAGCTTTGTACACTTGTCTCTATGCCAAAGTAAGGATTACATTTTGTAAATTTGTGATTGTGGTTTTAATTCTTGTAAAAGTTATAGCTATTAGGGATATAGCTATACTAAAAGTTTATGGATGTTGTGTCCATTCCAAGGACATATCAAAACTGAAAAAATAAACTGGTAAGAAAATTAATTTTAATGGAAAGTAGGGATCATTATTGCAATAAAAAGTAAACAAACAAGTAAAGTGATACTAGTTGGATATATTTTAAAACGATTTTCAATCCCTACTTTGGTTTGCAAACTTAGACTACTTTATTTAGCTCTGCAGATCCCAATTCCAACCAAAGTTAGGATGGAAAATTATTTTAAAATCTATCCAACTAGTATTTGTTTATTTTTTATTACAGCAACTCTCCCTACTTTCCATTAACATTTTAATTTTTTTTCCTATTTATTTATCAATAATAAGAATGTTAGATTACAAAAAAGTTAAAAGATTTCTTCAGTGGAAATTCATTTACAGTTGCCACCCTGGAACAAGATCTTAATCTGTGGAGTTACCCTTTGGAGAGCCTTAATGATGTTTGAGGTTAATTTTGCATGATGTTCCAGGTCCTGTGTTGTTCTTGAAACTACTTCCTTCATATTTTTTATCCTTCTTAGTATGATAGCCATTATTATATACTGTTATCTGATACTGCATCTTCTATTGTGTCAAGCTTCTGTAAATAATGACTTGTCAATTTTGGACCAGATGTATATAACTTTAATCAGATCAAAGGTCCTAAATTTACACTTGAGCTGTAGTTAGGTTCTTGCCAGGTTCATGATTGAATGAAATTTATATATATATATAAATGATAGTACGTCAAGATATCTGGTCTATCATTTAATTTTGAAACAGACGCGTATGAAAAATTGGCTTATGAAATTGTCTATTTCACAACTTCTGGATGACCTCACTACAAACAGAAACAATGGATAACTGCACTGAACAATCGAGTCAACTCTGAACTAGTTCACAGCGCAAACACTTGGATGCACTAAATTTTTAAGAATATATTTGGTTCTATCAGGACTTCCCAGAATTCTCCATCTATCTAACTTATATTAATGCCAGTATATGTCACATCATGCATAATTTATCAAAATAGAGGGGGTCATAAAAGACCAAATGCATTTATCCAGATACAATAGTTCGGCTACTGTCCATCTATTATGATTTTAGTAAGGGTGTGTGTTATGGGCAGGCATTTAGTCTACTTGTTGGAGCTTTGACTTTTACCACAGGTCACACTTGTTTATTTAAATGAGAATACAGTCGTGAGTGGAGCACACAAGTCACTAACTCAGGAAGTTTACAGCTAGAATAAAGAATGACTCAGAGACTGAGATTACACAAAACATCAATCTTTAATAACACTTACTTAAGAGGCAATTACAACACTTATGTTAGTTGTTGACTTAACTCCATTAATGTCTCAACAATTTTCAGTAGTTTCTTTATTATTCTTAACAACTCTTCAATCACTGTATTACTAGAGGTATACTCGGACAAAGTCAGGTTACTAGTTTTATATTTAGTTTTTTAGTTATATTGATCAAAATTGAGAGAAATAGCATTTGTAATTTACATCAAAGTTGGAGTGGCAAGCTGACTTCTATGAATGCTGGTTACCTTCGGCATCTTGAACTCATCACTTTCTGTCTCAGAAAACTGAACTGAAATTTTGTCCTGGAGAGAACTGATTTTTAGCTCCCAACATTAATTTTTAAATGATATTTTTTCAGTATCCTTATGAGTTTCCAAGTAGTGTGCATAGCTATCCACAAGTAATTCTCACACTTCATTGGTTAATTTCTGCAACTCATCGTACTTCCCACAAACAAAACCTAAAACTCTCAAATAATTGAGTTGCCTTCTAACTTGGATGACTACGCTACTATCCGTAACAGATACGGCCTCAAGAGTTCCAACCATGGTAGTTAACCCCAACTTTTTCATAGCTTCCACTGTAGTAAGAGGTTAGTGCCATCAGTTCATCATTGTCAAACTTCTGGTTTACTTATACTGGGCTTTTCCCTTCTATTAAGCTTCACTATGATGGTTTTGAGCATCAGTTTTCTCTAAAGTTGGTTAATTGTAGTTTTCCTGTTTTAAGTACGCCATCTTCTTACTTGGGCGTGAAGACAAAAATCTTTCTTTACTCTTTTTATCAATTTTTATTTAATTATCAGAGCAATTTTATCAAAGGTCTACTATTCCCAATTTCTTCAGGTGCAAGGGAGCTGCGAGAGGATGGTGTGCATAAAACCTTAAGTGTTGTAAGAGTTGATTTTATAAGCCTAAAGACATAGTGTGGAATCATTTAGCCTAGAGCCAAGTGCGTACAATTTATCGTGAAAGTAAACATATCGATTCAATTTTAAACTTAAGTTGTTTCTGAATTAAGCTATTTTCTTTTATATCACCAAAGAAAAAAAAAATCTTTAATCAACAGAGACTCTAAATTAAGAAATCAACAAATATTTTTCCAGTTTTGTTGTCTGTACATTTCCTATAATGCTTTCAGTACATAGGCTAACAACAATATTAGGTTATACTTTTGTAGTGTTACCAAAATGCACTGGCTTTTCTATATATTAGAAGTTAAGCTAACTGATTTTTACCAATAATTATTCTATGATTATGCCACAAATTCATTTCATGAATAATCTTAATTTACCAATGTTTGACTGTCTTGGTTGCACTTTTCTGCCTCTGTTGGTCAAGCTTGATTTTGCAAACTTTATTTCAATTATGAAATGTGAGGTTAGGGTATACTATGAGGTGGTATTACTTGTCCTGTCATTTTTGACAGGCTATATGCTAGTGATACCAGAAAAGGAAAATGGATTCAATGGCAAGTAGTGACTTGGTGACTCATGGATAGTGATTGTTAAATTTGTTCAAAAATACTAAAATATTGCAATAAAAGTACCAAAGAGCACTCTAGAAGGGAAATAAACCCTAATCACAATTATGCTATTATCTTGTAATTTTATATTAGGCAGAGTTCCTTAGTAAATAAGTTGCATCTATTAGTACTAAATAGTTTTCTAACACTGATGTTTTTTTAGCACTATTTTGAGGTATTTCCTATGAAATATTCATTAAGAAACTCATTGTGAAAGAAAAATTGGAGAAAATGTTTTGAAGAACAATTATCTGTAAAATTGACATCTATAATTTTGGTATGTTTTTATTAAAACCTATTTAAGATATGAAGGCAGTACAATTTTAATTTTGGAAAGACAAAGGTGTGTTGATAAAGTAAAAGTATTAGGGTGCTTGTTCTTGCATAAATAAAAAAAAATTACAGTTGATGCTTATATATAAAATATATACAATCAGCTAAAAATGTCTATCTTGTTTCTGATATATTGTCTGTAATTGTGTTATTTGTAATTTATCAAGTCTTGAAAATGTGAGCAACAAAAATTGAGAAAAATACATGTGCATGTGGACTTTGGAGTTGAGTTTGAAATATGAACATGTTTGTAATCATTGCCACCACTGCTTGTTAACAAATTTTCTGTAAGGTAAATTAGGCATTGTATGCTAATCTGTATTTTATAAATCATGGTTTGATCAAAATTTATTCATACTTTTTGTTTGTAAACATTTATAACTGGCATGGTTGAAGGTTAGTGTCCATATAATTGGGAGTTTTGTTGTAATAAAAGTAATATTCCTTCTTGATTTGTAAGATTCATTTTTCTTGTGTATTTGTACATAGTACATAATGTATTAATATTATACATGCAAGGACATTAATGGTTAAAACATCAATGGAGAAATATGTAGTTTATTAAAAAAGAAAGTAAGAATCGTAATACCTCATTGGACAATAATATGAGGTAGTTGGCATTATGTAACAGAGACTAAGCTATGGTATTTGTTGATCTATTTTTTTAACAAGGATTCATTAATGGTTTTCCTTTCTGAACTGTAAAATGACTAAAGAAAATGTCTTTAACTTAGATAACCTGAATTTGTAATAATTACATATCTTGTGAAAAGCATATTTAAGTTACTTTACTGTGATAAACCTTGTTTGTTACATGATTGTGTTATTCATATATATCTGTGCGAGTGTGTGTTTTATCATTAGCTGTTTTATTATTTTTGCATACCATAGGTTTTGTTTAGCATTAAATAAGAAAGCTTATATCTTCCTGGTATAGTTGTTGGAAGCTGAAGGAGCTACTTGTGAGTTGGCTGATGTTGGAACTCAAACCCTTCCTGATGGAAAAGTTATTCCATACCCTCCAGTGATTCTTGGCCAGCTTGGAAATGACCCTCAAAAGAAAACAATTTGTGTTTATGGCCATTTGGATGTTCAACCAGCTGCTAAGGTGCCACCAAAACTTTTAATTTAGTAGAGTTGATAATAATTAGTTAACAAATGAGATACTTCATTTATACTTCTTATGCCACAAAACTGGTAACTGTGTTCATTCAGTTTTCTCTTCACCCATTAGGTAATTAAATACTGTGTTCACCCTGGTATTCTTCAGTTAGTTTTTAATGAAACAAATATATGTATCTATACTTTATTCATATCCAATGGCCAAAATATAATTTTTTTAAAAAATTATTAGTTTTGTTATTTGTTCTATAAGATCAACTGTTTTCACAGAAATCAGAGTGTGAAGTTACTTGCAACATTGCAAAGATACATTTTCAAGACCAAGCTTGAGGTCTGAGCAGTTGAGACCAAGACCTCATCATAATTTGATCTCAAGGCCAGTCTTGAGATCCCATCTCTTTTACATTCTGTTTTCTCATCATTCTATGATGTTTACAGCATATGATCTGGACAACTACTAATGAAGCTCTGCTTTTAAAATATTTACATGCTAGCTAAAAGACATCAATGGATAAATAAGATGCTTCCGTTCTTAGCTTCTTATGTCAAGTTTTTATAATACAGAAAGATTAAAGTGATTTCTTGTATGATAGTTTCAACATGTTGTTATTTTATAAGCCTTTGTTTTTAATATGTAGGAAGATGGATGGGATACAGAGCCATTTGAGCTTATAGAGAAAGATGGGAAGTTGTACGGCCGTGGAGCAACTGATGACAAAGGCCCCGTATTGGCTTGGATTCATGCCATACAAGCATATCATAAAACAGATTGTCAACTGCCTGTAAATTTAAAGGTACATTTATTTTCATTTTCATGATATAATTTAAATTGCTGATACACTTGCATATATACATGTTTTAAGTAACTGTAACATTTGTGTAGACCCTCGTGAGTTAACGTGAATCGTGCTGATGAATGATGTGAACATCATGCAACAAAAACCCTCCACACATAGAAGGGCCACACATCTTTATGCACAATAACTATCCTTGTGCGTGTGCACTTGTGGTAATTTGATTCTTTTTCTCAGGAATGAACAACACAGATGTGTTTAAACTTATTTAAATTGCTGAGATTTGCACTGGTTAATGAAACTTAAGTTTTGTTATACTTTGGATATTTTTTTGTTTAACTTTGTTACCATAAATTCACATTTAATGTGACTTTAACTTGTTCTTATGTGACTGAAGAAATTTCACACACACAGGACATATTTGAATTATCACTTCAGGAGAACATTGCCACAGCCATTGTTTAATGGGTAGTGGTATTCTATTATGCATGCTGGACTTTCAGCTTACATCCATTCTTCAGATGTTCCTTCTCTTCAATTTGAAATTAAAACTGAGGAAGACAAATTTGATTGCTTATTTCCTCCTCCTGGATCTGCTTTAGGTACCTCACTACCAATCAAGGAAACTCAACTTTTCTCACTATTTTAGGATTTTATCTCACTTTCTGCCATATTTTATGACACTTTGTTTTCTTTGCTTCATAACCCTAATCCTTGTGATTATTTTGTTTTTCCTCCTTTTCCTGACATTAGAGTTCATGATAATTCATTTTTGGAACAACTTTGTACCTGTACCCTAATGTGTCTTCCCCTCATTTGCATGAATCTTATGTGTTGGGTTATAACTGTTCTCATTTTCTCTTTGTTTATTCTCAATCTTTGAAATCTCTTACTGTTTCGGGAGTAAATTCATTGTCATCTATTTTGCTCTCCAGTGCTAAATCTTCCCCTCCTCATCTTTTTCTTACCATCCTTCTTTGATACCTCTCTTCTCTCCATCTTATGCCTGAAATGCTTCATTATGCCTCATATGACTTTTCAGGAGAAACTTGTTATCTTCTATTCTCTACTCTGGCCTCTTCCACTTCTGCCCTTTCTCTATTTACCTGGTTCCTTTGTTGTTTGGACTTTTTAGGTAAAGATACTCTCCTCTCTCATGCATGTCTTCATACTTCCTATCTCTGTGCTCTTTGTTATTTGCCATTTCTTCACTTGGATGTCTTTGGTGGTGTTTAAAATTTTCCTGAATCATGGGCTGAGACAGCCCATAACCAATCTTCACTATCTTCTTTGATTTCTTGCCTCTCTCACTATTGCCCTTCTACTTCAGTTTCTTGACTGGGTACTTCTACCCATCACCTTTCCATTCCAACTTCCAGACCTTCTTCTGCTACTTATTTCCCCTCTTACCAATGTCAGACTCGCCACACAAATCACAGGTGACCATGTGGTTTGTTTGAGAACCCATCTGTCACAGTTTGTAGATCTCAGATTAGATTTTTCTTCCAACTGATGGGTCCTGCAAGTACACATTTACAGACTGTCTCTTCACTTCTTTTCTCTATGCCCCCTCTCTCTATTCTGACTCATTTCATTTCCTCCTCTCTCTGATTCAGTCTATCATTAACATCTCAAGAAGGTGGTATTGAATCATTTGAATAAGTCATCGACAGGGTAAAGAACCATTTTCCAGGTTTTTACTCTTGTCTTTTCGTGGTCTACAAGAATATCAGGGGTTGGTATCTGGTAAGCTACCCCTCTTCTCTCAATTGCTTTCAGATCTTTCTACATTTTCAGTTGGAAAATTTCTTCTCTCCATTGGTCCGTTTCACCTGGACTGTGGATGACTAAGGTAAGTGTTTTGGATGCATTCCTCCACATCCTCACTGATCTGTACTCCAGACATTTTCTATGCTTCATATACCGAAATCGCATCTTCCATTTCTAGGCACTTCCTTTCGACATAACATTGGCCCCTTACATATTCAACCTTGTCATGAGGGCCTTCACTCACCATCTTCACAGACTTGGTCTACAATTCCATTTTTACATGGATGATTGGCTTCTCTTAGCTCATTCCCAGGAGGAATTCTCCCTTCACATTTTTCTTCTTCAAGATGCTGCTTGTTTGGGGTGTCTTGTTAAGATTTCCATATATTTTCTTATACCCTTCCAATATCTCGTACACCTGGGAGTCTTTTTATACTCTTCTCTCAGCCATTCCCAGCCTTCTCATCTTCACCTATTAGCTATGGAGTGTCTGGATGCCGAGATTTGTGCATCTTCTTTTCATTTTGTGCATTTATTTCATTCTTCTTTTGAGGACTCTGGCTTTTCTGGAATAACTCATTCCTTTAGGTAGCACACACATGCTTCCTCTTCAGTGGAATTTCTCACAAAATCTATTGTCTTCAATCATCCACCTACCTTCTCCTCTACTTGAGGTCTACTTTGGTCTTGGTGGCTAAACCATTCCAAAACCACCTCTGGAGTTCCCTTAATTTCTCCCAGACCAGAACTTCCTCTATTCACTGATGCTTCCCTCTAAGAATTTCTGTTGTTTGGCCACAGGATGAACGCTGTCTTCACATCAGTGTGCTCAAAATTTCATGCTGTTTATCAGGCATGCTGTCATTACCTACCCCTCCTGGTGGATCGTTTGGTCATGATTTGACAATTGACAATTTCATGGTCGTTTCATACATCAACAATCAAAGGGCATCAATTTCAGGGCTCTTTGTTTTCAGAATTTAAACCTAATTTTTTGGGCCCATTCTCATCATATTCATTAGATTGCCTGTTATGTTACAGGAGCTATGAACCTTGTTGTGAACTGTATTTCTCAGCTGGACTGCATTCTCACTATAGAATGGCTTCTCCATCCTCAGTGTTTTCTGTGGGTTTGCTCTCAGTTGGGCACACCCCTCATTAACACATATTTGCCACCCCTCTCAACTTCAAGCTTCCTCTTATCTGGTCTCTGGTTCTTCATCCCTCAGCTTTGGCTGTTGATGCTCTCAGCCAGGACTGGTCTTATCTTTTCCTGTATGCTTATTTACCTCTTTGTCTTCTACCTCAGATTCTTGACACCCTTGATGAATCTTCTTCGTGGTACCTCTTTGGCTGGCTCAATCTTGGTTTCTTCTTCTCCTTTGCTTGGCAACTGAACCCCTTCTTCCTCTGCCCAATATTCCCTCTCTCTTGCATCAACCTCACATGTCACTGTTTCATCAAAGGGTATCATCCCTCCATCTTCACATATGGGATTTGTCTAGTCCATCGCCCATTGAACTGGAACTCTGATTGTTTAGTCTTTCTCTTGTCTCATTCTTGTTGATCTTCCCACCTTGTCTATGTACTAATGTAGGCAGTGTGTCTACCGTCGTTGGTCCATCTGCCACCACTTTCTCCCTGACTGACCTACTGTATGCCATCTTTCTCTCCACCATTGCTGGCTGTGGGATGGCATTATCCATAAAATTTTGCCTTTCCTAAAATTGCAGAGCGTTTTCTTCCCCTGTCCTCTTCACTTTGTTTTGATCTTTCCTTCTCCACAGACCACCTTGACCTGCTCCTTATACCACCTTTCTCAATACTTATTTCTTCCTCTTTCTTGCATGTGGTCACTGTTGTTTAGATATCTATGCAATTAATTCTTCTTGTGCTATTTTCCATCATACTTTTATACTCCTCTATCCAGATCAGTCTTTCCTTCCTAAGACTTCTGCTGATTGAGAAGGTAGTTGCACCTTTTCTCCTGTCTCCTTTCCTTCTGTATGTCACTTTGTGATTGTTCAGACCCAAACAAGCTACCATGTTCTGTTTGGGCTGTTTGATGTTACTTATCACATACCTCCCTATTTCAGGGCCCTCATCATCATCTCTTTACATATTGCAGCCCTTTCCTTCCAGAGATCTATCTCCTTCTAACCTTACAGGATAGGTTCATCAACTTTTCCATCTGGTATATGCTTCATTGGAGATGGAGACTTGCAAGATCTTCCACATTTTTTCCCATGAAATTAATCAACTTGCTCATTGGATGAAATCCTTCAGGTTGGTATGCGACTACCCCACACACTTTTGTTGCTTATGAACTATTACCATTTGGCTGTTTTGTCTCCTGAGGGTTTTTGTCTTTCTCCAATTGCCATTTTCCAACATACCATCTCTAGACAGGTGAGTTCACTTTCATGGGCCCCATTTTACTTCATACGATCCCATCAGGTGGTTGATTTTGCCTCCCAGAGTATACTTAACTAAACTCTGCATTCATTCAGGATAATGGAAAGCACTCATACCATCTGATCTACATGTACACACTGAGAGATGGGGTGTTCCACAAGATCACTTAGGGTATCCTTGTGATTTTCTTTTTTTTCATTTGTCTGATCCAGACTGTACCTCTTCCGTAGACTGTCATGGCTTGGTGGCTTTTAAAAATAGGGTTTCACAGTCATTAATTGCACTGGCTCCAGTAAAAGACCTTTTTTTGGCTGAGAGTCTGATGTGAACTTGGGCACTTCTCAGTGTCTTCCCAGTGTGAATTCTCCCCTCCCCTTCCTTTGTTTAGTGCAGCATTGGAGTTCCTAGCTACTGGGTGGTGGACCATTGATAAGAAGAGTAGTGGTGACACTGTCAGTGTAGTGTGGGCCACCACTCTAAAACATAACTCGTAACACTTGTGTCCTTTTTCTGCAGTGTAAATCTGTTCAGTAGAGTTGAAGTGAGCACACACACTTTATGATACAATAATATATAACTGATGTGCCCTTTTTCTACTGCCAGTGTCTGTTCAGTAGAGTCGAGGTGAGCACACGCTATGCAAAACCATACTGCATCACTGAGATGCCCTCCTGCGGCTGGAGCACTCAAGGTATGGTTGGAACGCACCTCAACCACACTATACATTTGCTTGCTGACCACTTGTGTGTAAGCTCTTGGATGGTCATGTTTTCTTTCTGCCCATCCCTGCAACACTTAGGGCTCAGTTGCCTTTT